TGAACTGCGTTCCCTCAACATCCACATTAAAGTCCTAATTCCCAGTGCAATGGTAATTGGAGGTGGGCCTTTGGAAAGCAAAGGTTTAGGCTTAGCTAAGGTCCTGAGGGTTGAGTCCTCATGATGGGAATAGGACGTTATAAGAAGATGAAGGGATCACACCTCTGCTTCTCGTCCATGTGAGAATACAAAAATAATGTCACTATGGACAAATCAAGGAAAGGGCCCTCACCAGAAACTGACCATGCTGGCACTCAGATCTTGGATTCCCAGGTTCCAGAACTGCAAGAATAAGTTTTTGCTGGTTAAGCCAACTAATTGATGGTATTCCTTATAGCAGCGTCATCAAGCATACCAATTTCATGATCCAGTTCTGCCTCCAATTCAAATGATACACCCTGAAGCAACTCTAGATCTTCAAGGCCAAGCAAGCCCTCAAATTTCATCAAGAAAAGGCTGGGGACACATCCACACTTAGGGAAAGCAAGAGAACCTGAGCAATGTCCTGCCCACCACGGGGAAAACAGACTCGCTTCTTCCTCTCTATGTAACAGAACCCTTACAGAAAAAAATATGAATAGCAGCAACAAAAAGTATGTAATAGTACCCCATTATCAGTGGTTTCACTTTCTGTACTTTCAGTTACCTGAAGTCAACCATAATGCAGAAATATTGAGCTGAAAGTTCCAGAAAAAAGCAATTTCTAAGTTGTAAACTGTACACCATACAGAGTAGTGTGATGAAATCTCACACAATTCTGCTCTATCCCACCCCAGACGTAAATCATCCTTTTGTCCATCACATCCACCCTATATATGCTACCCATACATTAGTCACTTAGTATCTATCTTGGTTATCAGATCAACTGCTGGGATATCCCAGTGTTTATGTTCAGATAACCCAAACACAGTAGGCTAATGCTATGTCACAGTACCCACATTCTCCATTTTCATACAGGTTTTGAATCATGTCATACCACCACAAGAAGAAGATGACTACAGTAAAATCAGATGTGCATGTGTATGTGTGTGTGTGTGTGTGAGAGAGAGAGAGAGAGAGAGAGAGACTATATGCACATAGCTTTTCTTATAGTATATTCTAACTGCCCTATTTTATTATTGCTGTTGTTAATCTCATACTGTGCCTAATTCATAAATTAAACTTTATCATAGGATTGTGCATGGTGAAAAATAGTCTATGTTTTGTGCTATCTACAGTTACAGGCATCACCTAGAGGTCCTGAAACCTATCATCTGCAGAGAAGAGTAGAGTATTTTATTTATTCTATACATTAAAGGATCACCCATGGTTTAGTTTATTTATTTATTTTTAAGGATTTATTTATTTATTTGAAAGTCAGAGCTACACAGAAAGAGAAGGGGGGGAGGGAGGGAGGGAGGGAGGGAGAGAGAGAGAGAGAGAGAGAGAGAGAGAGAGAGGTCTTCCATCTGCTGGTTCATTCCCCAACTGGCCACAACAGTTGGAGCTGTGCCAATCCGAAGCCAGGAGTCAGGAGCTTCCTCTGGGTCTCCCACGTGGGTGCAGGGGCCCAAAGGACTTGAGCCATCTTCTACTGCTTTCCCAGGCCATAGCAGAGAGCTGGATCGGAAGAGGAGTAGCCAGGACAAAAACTGGCACCCATATGGGATGCCGGCACTGCAGATGGTGGCTTTACCTGCTGCGCCATGCCTCTATGGTTTAGTTTAAAGGCATGGGAAACACAAAGATGTATCTACTATGTGCCAGGAACTGAACTAGGTGTATTCACATATAACATATTTCATTATGATCTAAATCACTGTATCTAAATCATTTTACAGATGAAGAAATTAAGGTTCAGAGAGGTTAATCAGCTTCTCAAATATCACACAGCTGATGAGTAACTACTATTAAGAATGTATATTTTAAGCTTATTAATACTTTCTTATCTATGCCCAGAAAATTTCTGAGTTTCTAGTGATTGTTACTACTTCCCAAAGATTTGTGAATAATTAATGGAGCTAACAGGAGTGAAGAGGGTGATTAGCTCTTTCACCACATGCCTTTCAGTGTTATTAGTATTACCAGTGATCATAGATGACTTTCATTTGAAGATCAATAAATAAAATCTAAAATACCAAATTAAAAAATAATCAATGACATGATGCTCAAACTAAATTTAGGATTAACCCTTGGCAAAGTTGTAAACCATGAGACGGTACATGTTTCTGGTCTTTTGTTTTTAGCACAATTTCCCACTTACTATCTGTACATAGCACAAAATAAGATCCTGTGAAGTTGTTCACATTAAGGTTAAATTTGCTATTATTTTGTAGTGGTTTCACTGAGCAGAGGACTGTATTCTGGGTTAAAAAAATGACTATGTTTACTTCTAACAGCAGAATGGTAGAGGTTTGAGAGCAAGGCTTTTCTTCTCCTGTGGTCCTCAAACCACACTCTACAGAGCCATCCACTCAGGCAGCTCTTGGAGGGGCTCTGTCTGGGAAGGCAGCTGCCAAGGTTCTAAACTGGGATGGAACACTTGGTGGGAGAGGAGCATTTAATGATGGAGCAGAAACTGACTGGCATGTACATGACTAATCCCAAGCATATAAAAGTTAATGGCTTAACAGGCACCAAAAGACCAACCACCCTTTTATATATGCATATATAATGTTAAAATCAGTAACTTGGGGTAGTGCAATTTGAGGGTAAAGTCAAATTCTTTACTAAACTAGCTCTGGGAAGTCAACATTCTTTCAAAGCTAAGCTTCCGGATCTGTGTGAAGGCTTTGATCACGTACATACTTTGAGAGTCCCATCGTACTCCCATTCCCATGCACTCTTTCCCAGCCCCCTGCCCTCCAGCTGTTGCTTGTCATGGCCAAAGAGTGTAGTGGAACAATCAAGAGTCAAGCGAGAGGTTGGTTTGGTATAAGCAGCAGCTTTGTATCCCTATAATGAGTTGAACTGTACCCCCAAAAGGGTATGTTGAAGTCTTAATCGTTGGTACCTGTGAATGTTACCTTATTTGGAACTAGAGTCTTTGCAGATGTAATAAAGCTAAAACAAGGTCACACAGGATTAGGTTGGGCCCCAAATCCAAAGACTGGTATCCTAATAAGGAGAAGGAGATTTGGAGGCACATAGACACACACAGAGAAGGAAAGCAACTATGGAAGAAAGGGGCAGAAGTTGTACTACTACAGCTGTAAGCCAGGGGATGGCAAGTATTTCTAGCAACTATCCAAAGCTATGAAGAGGCAAGGGAGCATTCTCTCGAGCTTTCTGAGGGCTCATGACCCTGCTGACATCCTGGCTTGGGACTGGCCCCAGAACTGTGAGAGAATAAGTGTCTATTGTTTTCATCAACCCAGTTTGCAGTCATTCCTTACAGCAACTCGTATTCTCAGACTATCTCATCATCATACCTTTTGTAAAGGAAACACAGGAAACAAATACAGAACAAACATTCTGATTATGCTGATATGTTCAGAAGTTTGAGTAACAGCACAGGTGACCACAGGCTTCCCTCTTGACCTCTTGCACACACTATTTTCAAACTCCTTTTAGAAACAGAGGAAACTACAAGTTTTATTCTGATTCATGGCATCTCTACCACAGCATTCGTGTACTGCAACAAAGAGGAGGCTCTTGGCTGTGGCTGCATTGTGTTATATTCTTAGACTTTACCGAACCAAAGTATGAATGGAAATATATTTTTAAATCTGCTCTAAAATGTTACCCTAGACATTGCCCAAGAAGCCACACATTTGTCCTTATATAATTCCTATGTTTAAAAATGATTTTTAAAAAGCTCTCACAATTTAGCACTAGGAAAGTATTTTTATCTCTTTTTTTAAAAATAGCATGTTTCACACTATCAGATAACCAGATTTTTCCAACCAGTCTACTACAATAGCTTCTCAACTGGTCTCCTAGAACCATTCTTAGCCTTCTATGGTCCATTCTTCCACAGTAGGCAGAATGATCTTTTTATGCAGAAATCAGCCCATCTCAATGCCCTGGACAAAACCATTTAGGGATTCCCATCATTCAGAATAAAATGCAAGGCTTTCCAGGGCCCAGCACCCTGTCTAACATGATCTGCCCTGAGCTATCACTTTTATTTCATCCCCTTCCATTACACTCCTGCCATCTCAAGTCTCCTTTTTGCTGGTCCTACAGTCTGGGCATCCACACTTCCGGGAATGCTCCTCTTCCCACTCCTCAGACAGCCTGCACCATTGTCTAATTCAGGACTCTGCTAGAGGTCACTTCTTCAGAGAGTCCTTCCTACGCCATCTAAAATCACAACCCCTAACTACCCTCTCCCTAACTTCCTTCTATTTTTTATCATGCTATTTATTCACTTCCTGATTTTACATTATGTACTTAATTGTTTTTTTCTTCATTGCCTGTGCTCTCCTAGTAGGATGTCAGCTCTGTGGAAGAAGCAGGGATTTTTGTCAGATTTACTCACTGCTATATTTCCAGCTCCTACAACAGAGTCCATCATAGAACAGGCACTCGATCTATAATTCGCTGAATCAAAAAGTAACAAATACATTTTGCAAGTATTGCTTGGTTTTCTCTCCTGGTTGATTAGAGAGCTAACTACTACATTTAATGGTGATTCACAATATATTAGACTTTATTGAGAGCATATATGCTTCTACTTTTTTTAAATACTCTGATAGTACAATAACATTATAAGTCCCCTTTATTATAAGATACTTCCAAATATCTCAGAACATGAGAGATAGACATACCAATCAGCAGATTAGTTGGGTACCTGGGAGGCAACCCACACTGAGGGGGAAAGGGTATATTTGTTACTCAGCAGTAATGTTTAAATGTGATACATGACAAATTCAAATAAAATACAGGACAGTTCTCAAGATTGAAGCCCAAAACTTTAGCTGCAAATTGATACTTGAGAAACTGGAAAGAGCCAAAGGAGAGAGAGCCAGGCCATCTCTGTTCCAGCAGATCCAGTGAAGGAGGGAAGCAAGTTTTACCTTTTCACTCCTGCAGTTGTTCAGCCCCATATTATTCATGGAAGACAGCTTCCCATCAACACCATGCGGCTGCTGCTGCTGTTGCTCCCGCTGGATCTGTTCTCGCATCTTCCGAGCCTCCTGAATGGCTTTCATCACTGTATCCTGATCCCCAAACAGGGCGGGGGAGTTGAGACTGGATAGAATATCTGCATACACAGGATGCATTATTAGAGGCTTGTGAGATCAGACCCTTGAAAAGTACCACTACTATCCATGGCCCTGTAGAATGCTATGTTCTCTAAGCCAGGAAGGGGCACATTTGCTACTGAGACAATGGTAGGATATTATTCACAGAAAATCAGGGCAAGTAAGCTGGACTGGGCTTTTGTTTTCCCTTGGAGGATACTCCAGTATTCCAGGCTACCTGAGTTCTGTTCACCTACCTCTGCACAGCTGAAAGTTGCTAGATTCCAACTGTGTCTCTACTCAGGGGAGATATTTGTTCTGGTTATATAGACAATCTGTGCACAATCTAGCCCCTTTGGTGGGGAACTGGCAGGGATGAAGGGGCATGAGGTTGGAGAAGGGGCAGAAATATCTGTCCAGGCTTTCCAAATATAGCTGGTGTGCTAATATAGGGAAGCTGCTTCTGGCCTAGTAGAAAAACATCTGTGAGACTACATGTATATTTTGGTGACATCTGTATCTGTGTGTTCACACATCCACTGCAGGGGAGAGGGGGCGGGAAAGAACACACCAGACTCTCCACTCCCCAGTTGCTGGCTGGTTAATGAAGCATTCTTCTCATCATGTTGCCTCAGTTGTTTACCAAGAGAATGACAACCCCTTCCCCACCCCCAACCCGCACACCCACTGCTCGCAGCACCATCATCATGACAGGGAAGCTATGTGTGTGGGAATGGTTTTCACAGAAATACAAAGCTCCAAATAAAGTGAGAATAAATATTTACTTTCATGACATCCTATGCAACACAGATGAAAAATTAAAGATGAAACTATAACCTGTATTTTACTGTAGATAAAATGAATAATTTGGATAAGTTTTTCCAATTTTAGACAAAAAGGGCGCAATTACTTGATGACTGATAGATCTCAGCTGCTGTGATCAATTTCAACATAATCTATTTGTTTGAGGCCTGGTATGAGCATTTCATAGTGTGTGTGTGTGTGTGTGTGTGTGTATTTCACATAGACAGAAGAGACAGAGGAAACCAAACTACAATCAAACTCACTTCATGCCCTATATGTGCAATGCCTATGCATATGCATTTGAGTTTAGGAGAAAAATCCCAAGGTTATTCAATGGAAAATTTTTTTATTTTATAAGTCAGTTACTTTTTTAGGCTATATAACTACATCATCTGTTCTGGAGTTATTTTGATAAAAATATTATTTCTACCCAATATCATATGGACAAGGCTGCTGACCAAGCATGGGTACTGTTGCTTCAGCCCATGTCTAGCTCATGATCTAAAATATATGCTCTGCTGAGGTTTAAACTCTATATGGCAAGATGTGACATAGTCATCACAGTATGATGTTCAGTATACCAGACAAACGCTTCCCAAGTAAAATTCAGAAGTGGAAAACAGGAGTCCCATTTCAAGATGAAGTCTATTATTTATCCTTATGGCAGTTTTTCCCCCTTATTTCATAACTTCCCAAAAGTCTAGCCAAGGAATATTCTTCAAATTCCTGCGTTATAATAAATGATGGAGTTCTCTCTTCTGCATGGACACCACTGGGTTGGGGTGGAATCACCTCTTCCCCTGAAAGGGGCATCCTGATTCAAGAGGCCACTGGGCAGCTAATGTCTCAAATGCTACATCTCATCATCAGAAGGTTCATTGAGACTCAGCACTGTTCAGTAGACACTCCAGCTGTGATTCACTGCTGGGTTGTGTGTGAGAAGGCCTGCACTCCAGTCCTGGTTCTGCCGATGAATAGCTGGGCTGTGGGCAAGTCATTCTTCCTCTAAGAACCACAATGAAAGTCATGATAAAACACTCTTAACTCACTAGAGTAACTGTGAGAAGTCAAATGAAATAAAGTAGGCAAGACTGGATTTTAAACTTTAAGTGTAGGCTACAAGTGTAGATTATTTTATCTGTTGTAATAAGCATTGCAGGCTCCAGGATTCAGTAATGCTGACAGGTGCTTTCACATTTATTGTTTACTCCAGATACATATATGCAAATTTTTCAGTATTCATTCCTTCTAACGCTTTCCATTTGCATGCCTTCTAAGTGTTGTACACTGTACTAGGAACTGTATGTGAATTTTTTTCCCTTAATACTTATAATGTAAACTAGGTAACATTCTCCTTGCAGAGATTAGGAAACTGAATTTTAAGGGATTAAGTAATTTTTCCAAGGTTACAGAGCTCTGAGTCCAAGGCTGTCTCATCCCAAAGCCCATATTTTCTCTTCCATACTATACTTTTTGTGGGGAGCAACTCGGATTAGACTGTTACTGGAATTAAGACTTATTCTATGCATCTGCTCTCCCACAATATGGCGCTGGGAGAGGAGCAAACAGCTTCTACACAGCTGCCTCCAGTTCAACCAATAAACAGCAGGACCTGCTCCTGATTGGAGGAGAGCAGCGTACTCGGCGTGTGGGTAGCAGAGTTGGGATTGGTGGAAGAGGACTATAAAGGAGGAGAGAGACAACATGCACCAGGAACATCTATCTGAAGGAACACCTGAGCAGCCCCCGAGAGAGCCGGCCGGCGGTGTGCCACTCCCCCACGGAAGTGGGGAAAGTGGCAGGGGGAACCGCCCTTCCACGGAGGTGGAAGGGACGGTAGCCAACCCGGGAAGAACCAGCAGCAAACCCGGGGAGGGCCGAGCAGACAAAAGAACAGCGCAGGGTCCTGTGTCGTTCCTCCACGAAGAGGGGGAGCGACACTTTTCACACAAGGATGGGAAAGTCCTTGGAGATACCTTGCAAAGTATAGAGGAGTGCAACAAGGGAGAGCGGCATTATGACATGTCTTCCTAGATAAGTTTCATTTAATGCATGTCATTGAAGTGTGCCATTCATATTTGTTCTGATGCTGAATGAATACAGGAAGAGGTGTTGAAATTACCTACATTTCTAAAAGAAAAAATACAATTTCACAGAAAGTTTAGACTCTAGACAGGCAGCTTTGAGTTCGGGTCCTTGGTTCCTTGGGGAGTTACTTCAGAGGCAAAGCAGTTAGAGGACACAGAAGTCCCTAGGTCTATGATTCATCGGCTCTACGTCATCATCAGCTAAAGCATCCACCCCAGTGGGCTTTGCATTAAGACCTTCCCCGAAACGTCTGGTCACCCAAATACTAAGTTGTATAATGTTTCAGTGAAAAATGTAACAGTATTGTCTTTTATGAGGGAAACTTTGGGTGACAAGGACCAGATGTCACTAAACGGATGTCCTTTCTTTAACCTAATTCATCAGACCCTTCCTAATGTTGACTTTTCCATTTACCTAAAGAGGATCCTCTTCCCAAGTTTCCTCCAATGGGGCTGGGGATGCTGCTTTTGTTTGGCAGATTGACAGGGCTGGTTTTGCTGGCTGGGAAGAGGCTCTGGGTGGGAGATGTTGGGGACTTTACGGGCTCTGCTGTCTTGGGTCGGGATGAGAGATTCAGCGGCTGTGCTGCAGCTTCATCCTACAAGAGTTTAACATAAATAATTATTAAAAAAAAAAAAGACAAATGAAGCACATTATCACTTAGTAAGCCACAGTTATTTTACACCTCAGAGACAATGCCACATTCTCCTACAATAATAACAAAAGAAGCTAATTATCTACCTCCTTGAAGATTCAATGGAAGGAAACCTCATTAATTTCCCTGTGTTATGCTTCTATTTACATTAACTGTGTAGTTGGATCATTCTTTTTGCCAAATTAAAATCTGAATTAGCTCACATTACAGCTTAATTTCCTAATGTGTTTTCAGGGATCTAAATTAACCTAGGGCATTTACAAAGAATTATTTAAAATTTCCAGCAGCTCTGTAGTGCTTTCGTATTATTCTCTCTGAAAAGTTCCTGTAACTATAAATAGTGTCTGCAGCTGATTTTTTAATATATATTTTAAATCAAACAATAGAAAATACTTTAAAAATGGAAACATGGAAAGCTTTCTGATCCCCTGGGCTCCTGCCCAGGGAGCCGCATGCCACAGCCTGGCTTCCATGTGGCTTTCTGGGTGTGGGTACTCTTCATGGTCTGTATTCTGGTCTCTACTCATGTTTAAAATTAATTCTTGAAAAGAATAAGCATACATTATAATTATGTTTTACATACTATGCTATATGCAATTTATTTTTCATGTTTAAAATGTAACTCACTATATTCCTTACTACATATATTTACAGAACTGCTATTTTAAGACACATGTCCTCTGCACAGAGCACAGTATTCAAATATCTGATTTGTGACTCCAGTTTGGCCAAGATCTTGAAAGCTAAACTCCTGTCTCTATTTTGTCTCATTTATCCTGCCATAAAATATCAATAACAACACTCCTACCATTCTGGAAGTTTAGTTGAAATATGAACACATTCATTTAAACGTTTCAAGATCAGCATTATTGTGTTCTAAAATTGGCAGCAAATGTTAACTCCCATTTTACTTCTAAGGAGGAACAGAGACCTTACTTTTAATATCATTGTCTAAAACATACAATAATTTGGTAACAGGACATTCTCTCCTTGGTAAACATATGAGGTCACTGGGGCCCAATTTCTTCATTGTTAAAAAGACAGCCTGACACTAGAACCTCTGTAAGGTCTCTCTCAGTACCAATATCACTGATTAAGTGGAAGCACAAGGAGATGCCAGGAAATACTAGCAGGGAGGGAGGATCATAAAGAAGAAAGAAACAAAACATGCACAGAGAGGCAGTGATGTGCCAAACACCGTGCTATGCATTTTCACACAGGCATCTATGAGATCACTTAAGCACCACACTTCGGGGCTCGCAGCACTAGTCTAAATTTATAAATGGGAAAATGGAGGTCAGAGTGATAAGAACTACTTGTCCAAGGCCTTACACAGAGGAAGAGAATTTGAATTCTCATTTATTGGACTCCAAATCTCAGCCTCCCTTTCTACTAAACTATCAGAGAAAATAAGTCAATTGTCTGATAACATAGTAAGGTTCTAGAATTTTATGTTTTATTTTTATCTTTTGTCTTGTTAGAAATAGGCCATCTGACATATCTATGTTGCAATGTACTTTTATCTATATTTAGTTTAGGACATGTTCTCAGAAAACATGGTTATATCCATTACAAATGTCAAAATTATCCAACGGTACTTACTTGCAATTTACTTTCCTTTGTTCTTTCTTCACTCATATCTAAATAATAGTGATTTATATGTTAGGTGTTCAATTAGTTTACTTCATGTTTGTTTCATTTGGGATTCATTGAGCTTCTACAATATATGAGGTCAGATTTTTAATAAAATCCGTAATGTTTTCAGGTCCTTACTCCTCCTTCTAGGGCTCCAACTGCACCGATTAGATCATATGATGTTGTCCCACAGGACTGGCAAGTCCCATTTCTATGTTTCATTTTGGATAGTTTTATTGCTGTATCTTCAAGCTCACTAATCTTTTCTTTTCTTAAAAAAGAATTTATTTATTTATTTGAAAGTCAGAGTTACAGAGAGAGAGGGAGAGACAGAAAGATCCAGCTACTGGTTCAGTCCCCAAATGACCCCAACAGCTAGGGCTGGGCCATGCTGAAGCCAGGAACCTGAAACCCCATCTGTGTCTCCCACATGGTAGTCAGGGCCCAAACACTTGGGCCATCTTCCTCTTTTGCAGGTACACTAGCAGGGAGCTTGGTGGGAAGCAGAGCACCTGGAACTTGAACCAGCACTCATATGGGATGCTGGTGTCATAATCAGTGGTTTAACCCACCGTGCTATGGAAGTACCTCATCAATCTCTCCTGAAATGTCTAGGCTATTGTTAATCCTATCCAGCGTGTTTCTTTCATCTCAAACACTATAATTTTCATCTCCAGACATTCAGTTTAGGTTTTCTATGTCTTGTTTTACTATGCTTATGCTTTCTTCTAGCTCCTTGAACATACAGTTTTGTAAGATCTTTTTGCCTTCAAATATACTCTAATTTATTACCCTCTTTTGTAATTCAATGACTAGTGCTTCTACCAACAATGCATGAATATCACCTACCAACTCCCAATCAAGCAAATCCCTTTCTACTGAGGGCAGAGATATCTGCTCTAGCTGAAAAGAAACTTTGTGCTAACCAAACTGGAAGAAAGGGGAGAGAATAACTCTAGGCAGGACTCCCAAGCAAACTGTTCTCACACAGCATCAGCCTATAATCACACAAAGCGGAATATATATGCCTTTGGTCAACCTTCAGAACACTGAAATGATTGCATTTATCAATTTTGTCAAGTTTTCTAAGTGCTTTATAGGGAGCAGACTCACTCTTCTGGCTCTTCTGGCTCACTCTTCTGGCTCTCCTATAGTAATAGCTTTTTTTCCTGATTTGGCACTGTTTCTATGATTGATTTTTCTCCTCATTATTCATATTTTCTTGCTGCATTACAGTCCTGGTAATCATTGAATGGATGCTACACATTGTGAAGTTTACATTGTTGGCTACTGACGTTTATTTGTTTATTTAAATACTTGTGGACTTCACTCTGAGATGCAGAATAATTTAATATTTTAGGCTTACTTTTAAGCTTTGTTAGGCTATTTCACAACAGCCATTAATTTAGGGATAATCTGGCCTCACTAGGGGGTAATATCTTTCTGTGGACTCTATTTTATTTTATTCTTTTGACAGGCAGAATTAGACAGTGAGAGAGAGAGAGAGAGAGAGAGGGAGAGAGAGAGAGAGAGAGAAAGGTCTTCCTTTTGTCATTGGTTCACCCCCCACGTGGCCGCTATGGCAGGCGCATTGCGGTGGGAGCCAGGAGCCAGGTGCTTCCTCCTGGTCTCCCATGGGGTGCAGGGCCCAAGCACTTGGGCCATCCTCCACTGCACTCCCTGGCCACAGCAGAGAGCTGGCCTGGAAGAGGGGCAACCAGGACAGAATCCGGCGCCCCAACCGGGACTAGAACCCGGTGTGTCGGCGCAGCAGGCGAAGGATTAGCTAGTGAGCCGCGGCGCCGGCCTCTGTGGACTCTATGTGATGCCCCACACGTCAGGAGATTTTTCCACTCTGGCAAAATGAGAACTAGTCCTGTTCCATTGCAAAGAGGCCTCAAGAAGTTTCCTCACGTGCGTGTTCTGATCAGTACTCACACACTCAGGCGGACCTTGTACACATCTTCAGAGTGCTTGCTCTCTCTTGCTCTCACTCTCTCTCTCTCTTTCTCCCTTCCCCTCTCCCTCTCTCTGTATAGCTCTAATGTCTGGTACAGTATCTATGTCAGCTCCCTCTGATCAGGCAGCCTGCTGAGCATCTCACATACTTGTTTAGCTCCGCCCCACACCCCCACCCAGACAGGAAGCGGGAACCACGCTAATTCCTGCCTCACTTGCTTCTCCTCTGCCAGGGATGACTGCACTGTACTACGATTGTGAATGTCTGAAAATCCTTTGTTTTTATCAATTTGTCCTGAGTTTTCATTGTTTAAGCTGGTAGAGTACCTCTGATTTCCGTGCTTCTATCATGCTTTAAAATGGAAATCTTCCAGGTGTTTAGTTAGGATCTGTTTTGGTAACAACCAAGATATTTCGATTCCAACCACTGAAACTGCCACAAAGTCTTCTTTATTATCATCATGAACATTACCACCATCATCACTACTGCTAAAGATTTATGAGGTTCTCACTATATGCTAGAGTCACATGTCTTCATCTCACTCAAAAGTATTAACAATGCTAACTCCCATTTTACCTAGGAGAAAACTAAGGCTGAAAGAAACGAGGTAACCTTCCCAAGGGACACAGCTATGAAAGTGGCAGAACTGGGTATTTAGACAAAATATTCTGACTTCTAATGTTGATATTTGCCATAGATAAAAATTCTAGAGAAAAGAAGGTAATATTTTTGTTACTTTCAGCAAACTTTTAGTCTATACCATGTTTGAATTTAAAATAAGTCGTTGTGTTATATACAGAGTGTAAAGAATAACTACAGAGAGAAATATGAGATATTTTGGTGACCATAATTCTTTCGCTAAGCAAACTTGTAAGATCAGATCACTTTCAGAATTTCTTCAATAATAGACAGGAGCTATTTTTTAAATTTAAAACATTTGCTTTATGTCTTGGTTTATATATTTTTACCCACATATACAATAAACAATCTAAGTATAAGAAATATTTCCTTTGTTATTAACATAAAATACAGTCAAGTCAAATTATATGGAGAACTCCCTAAGAGTTTACATGTGGTCAGTGAGTAATAAAATTCAGTTGGCCCACAAAGACAGAATGGTAAAAGCAGATATAAACTTGAATTTAACCAAGGAATATTTTACTCATCCAGTTAAGACTTGGTTTGGTACAGGTCCAGCTGGCCAACTTACTTATAAAATGACTTTTTCATGTTCAAATTTTTCAATATTCAATATCTCAAGTCACTGATATTTGATGTGTTCATATGCTAACAACTATGATTAAACAAAGTGCCTTGGTTTGGGTTTGAGTGTTCTGACTCTTATTAGTGAACACAAACCCTTAGATGACAAAATAATGTTTCCATAAATAATGCTTTGGAAATATAGACTGCCTATTGTCATATCAGTATTTTTTTTTTTGTATTTTTTGACAGGCAGAGTTAGAGAGAGAGAGAAAGAGAGAAAGGTCTTCCTTCCATTGATTCACCCCCCAAATGGCTGCTACAGTTGGTGTGCTGCGCTGATGCGGCAGGAGCCAGGTGCTTCTTCCGGTCTCCCATGGGGTGCAGGGCCCAAGCACTTGGGCCATCTTCCACTGCACTTCCGGGCCATAGCAGAGAGCTGGCATGGAAGAGGAGCAATCGGGACAGAACCGGTGCTCCAACCGGGACTAGAACCTGGCGTGCCGGCGCTGCAGGCAGAGGATTAGCCTATGAGCCGCGGCGCCGGCCTATATCAGTATTTTTAACAACAAAATATATATGTTCATCTATTTCTTTGGGTAATGAGTGGCATGAAATTAATTCTGTTGAGTGGAGAAGCAGCAGAATTATTTCTCTTAATGATGCTCACTTTTTCAACCTTTGATATTTGGAGTTCTTTTTTAAAGAGTTTTCTTAAATCTCAAAATTCCTATCAGCATATTTTCAAAAATAAACCAATTTCAGTGATTGTATAGTATCCAACACTTAGTTTGGTAGGTTTCAGGTGTTTCCCATGTGATGCTCTAATAATTGCAACATTTCTCCAAATGCAGGATTTTGGTCACATTATATTTGCGTCCGCACTCTGCATATGCCTACCAGTAGATAAGTCAATTATAAAAAATTTTTTGAACTGTTTGAATTGAATAATTCAAATAGAAAGCAAATGCAATCATGAAAGCCGACCAGTACCACCTAGAGGTACCAGCTGCAGCACAGGGTTGGAGCGGCCCATCAGTTTCTTTCTGTTGGCAGGTATTGTACCTCTTGGCTATCCAGTTCCAAGACACTGAAACTCTGTGAGGAAAGACATCTGTGAAGGTCCCAGACACAGCTTGAGCAAGCCAGTTTATGCTATGTCAACTATAGGACATCAAAGGCCTGATGAAGTAATGACACCACTCATTCCTCAGAGCCCATATTTGCAGCTAGTTCTGAAAGAGAGACCTTCATCAACCAAGTATATAAAACCCTGCATGAGATTCTTTTTTGTCTGCCTTTTTACAATCTGAGGTTTTGGTATCTTTCTTCACTGGTACTAAATGTTGGCTCCCCACCTGTTTAGGGAACATGAAAGAAGTGTCACAAGAATATGACAAGAACTAGAAATAAAACCATGGCCATTCATGCCAATGAACATTAAAAAATAAAAGCCAGAATCCAAAGGGGAAAATCTCTTGAGAAGTGAGTTTGCAGATTTAGGTAAAGATCTCACAATATGGCACTATTGTCATCCAAAGGGAAACACCTGTTTCTCAATCCTCAATCATGAAATTTACCATAAAGAGGAGCATTTTGGTGTTTCTTTATGTTGCTGTGCTTCCTGCTGCTTATTCCCAACATAGCCTGCTTCACTGTCTTTCTTGTGAAGCTATTTTCCAAACTGTTTCCACAGTCCTGGAAAGCAAAGTACCTTAACTTGAGTTACAGGGCTGGTCCCTCTCTTTTCATTTTTTATCCCAGTAGGTGAGACTGGCCCTGCTGTGTTTGGTGGCTGTGGAGTTGACGGCATCTTTGCTCCAGGTGACACCTGCATGCTGGCCAGCTGAGCGGCATAGAGTTGCTGCAAAACAGGGAAGACAAACATTGATCTCTTTAAATGCACCTGAAATAGAGTTGAAAAAAAAAAAACTTACCATATTGTTAGCTAACTATTTCTCCGACAGTCTTGCAATGTCTCTTTCACTATTTTTTAAAAGGGAAATAAGAGAAACCAAATAATATAAGAGAAACAAAAACAAAAACAAAAACAAAAAACAGAGCCCGGGTATCGGAGCCATGGTTCTGTAACTGGTCCTCCTAGCAACTTTACGACCCTGGACAAAGGACTTGATCTCTCTAGAACACAATTTCTTCAGTTGTACAAAAAGCAATTTAACCATGTAGTCTCTGAGATTCTTTCTAGTGCCTAACATCTTTATTGAAAGTTCTTTATATGTCTAGTGTGTCACTTGTGTAATTTTAATATTTGTAAACTCAGAAGCTATCCTTAACTTTCCTGAGGAATCCCTGTAAGAATGACATCACTCTGATTCTCTGGAGATTATGCTCCTTATGGATGATGAGTGCTGCCACCATGACCCCTGAGGCCCAACGGCAGTCACTCTTCTCAGTCTTAGTTCTACCCAGAATGCAACATAACCCTTAAGACATTATGCCCAGATGTATACTGATAAAAATGAAAGTAAATCAAACCAGACAAAAATCTTCTTTTATCTGGTACAGGAGCTACTCACTTGATTCTCAATGCAAACCAGATACCAAAGTGCTTCCTTCGCACCCCAGTTTCTCTCCTCAGTTCCTGTCCTGGTCCAGGGATAGCCTCAGTATATTCCCATTGCTATTACATGCATTTTCTGAAGTATTTTCTATAGTTCTCTTTGGGAAACTAATAATCCTATAAATTCTCTCTCTTCAGCTGAATGGGGTTCCTCTTCTCTTTGGCATAAGAAGCAGAAAACCTGACATTATAAATCTTAAAATTAACCTCAAAATGCACTGTTTTAGCTGAAATAGGGCCAGATATTGAAAGACAGGGGGGCCAAGCTCTTTTAATCTAATTTTAGCTTTTATCAAAGTAATTCCTACACATATATTTACAAATTCAACAGTACTTTAAGACTTAAAAACAAACAAGCAACAAGAAAATCAGCACAACCAACGGCAGGCCAGTATGTGCACTGCACAGCCTCCATAGCCTGGCATGATAGCCGTGGGATTTCACTGCCCAGTCCCTCAGACCTCATCACGCTCGACATGGTGGGGACATCCCCTTCAATTCATTGAAATGTTTTGACTGGCATTTATCTCATTCCCTGAAAACGCTTATACTAGTCATAGCCTTATTCATCAAGAAAGATAAGATTTCTTAGATCACCAACCCCCCATGTGTTCTTTTGCTTCCCTTCCAAAACTCTTAATGTTAATATCACAAATTTTAAGATTAATGTTTGCTATTTTATATCAATCTGTGAAGATACTATTTACAGTGGAAGTATGTACTAAAATGCATTTGATTTTCTTTTTCTCAATTTTAAAAATTTTGTTAGATTTAATATCTGTCTTATTATTTGTTTTCTTAACTTTTATGTAGCGATTACTAATTAATTCCCAAACTCTTCAAGAGCCCAGTAAAACTCAATCAAAAATGGTTGAATGTATCAGGTAATTTGTGTATTCTATATTTTTTTTTTCCCTTGGAGACATCCTTCTTGGCATTCTCCTTCTTCCTGCTCCAGTCTGACCTGCTTTATTGTTTAGGCCCACTGCAATTCTCTGGGACTTGGAATTCCTCTTGCCTCTCCTGTGGTGCATTCTTTGTCTCCTGCATATCTTATTTTCCTGTCACTTGGGTAGCAGTCTCTTTTTGGTAGAACATATACTCCAGGAGCTTCCTGAGAAATATGCGTGTGAAGTTAATTTTTTTAGGAATTATCATCCATGGAAAACATTACTATTATATTCCTCTAACTCAAGTACAGAATTCCAATTTGGAATTCCATTGATTTCATTCTTATTTCTAAGGAAGTATGATATCATTCTAATTTCTGTTGCTTTGTATGTAATCTATTTTCTCCTCAAAAAATATCAGGACCTTCCATCTCTAACAAGTGTTTCTGAAATTTCATTATGATTTCCTTCTGCTGAATTTCACATTCATTGTTCAGAACATTCATTTAAACCTTTCAATCTGTAAATGCATGCCTTATAATTCTAGGAAACTTTTTGGGCATTTTTCACTTATAATTTACTTCTTTTGTTCTCTTTCTTGAACTTCCACAAATGTTGGACTTCCTTATAGATCCTCTATTTTTCTTATTTTTTGTTCTTTTTGCAACCCTTTCACCTTTTGTCATACTCTATGATAAAACTGAAAATTTTAATTTTAAAAGTTGGAAAAAATTTATCAGAGTATAGCAAAAGTTGAAAAGGTGGTAAAAGAACAAAAATTTTCAACTTTATCTTCCAGTACTTCTATGAATTTTTAAAAATTCTGCTATGCTCTTAAGATGTTCTCTGATGGCTTTTTAAAAGATATTCTGTTATCTGTTTTGTTTGATGATATTAGTTCAGTTTGGGATTTGTTTGTGTTTTCTGAATTGTCTTTCTTTTCTCCCAAGGTCTTTGACCTCTTGCATATTAGAAGCTTTTCTCAGCTCTCTAGTGTTCACTGTTTCTTCATGTATAAGAGTGATGGACTTAATAGTTCATTAGGAGAACTTAATATGGTGATGGATTTATTGACTGATGGGTTTCAGCATAAAATCAACTTTTTCACTAGGAAAACTCAAATATCAAATCTACAGGTCATTTTTCCTACTCGAGACTACTTTCTTGAAACTCTCCAAATTTTGCCTTGATTGGGGTATAGTCTTGTATACCATCATTAGGTGAGCAAAGCAGGAGAGACAGTTTGGAGGATCTCATTGTTTGGTCTATCAATGTAAACTCCCTATTTTTCAAAAGTCATTATTATTTATTCTTGGCAACACCTAATGTCTGTGAGACAAAAATCCCTGAAGTTCAATTTGTCAAGAGAATAAACTTTCAGTTTTGTACCTGATTAGGTGCTGAGTGAGGGACATAGGGGTGGGGGTAAAGATGCAAGGATGGTAGTTACCAGGTTGCATAAGGTGAGAGAAGGATCATCTTATATCTATTTTCAACCAGTCAACTTTTCTTTAGTTCCACCTCTTACCCTTGCCTTCAATGATACATGATGCCTTCAATTCATAAGTATTTCAAAGGTTCAGTTCCCAGTTGGGCTTGATTCCTTTTGGCTTTATACTCTTAAAGCTTAAGTATCAGCTTTCTCCTGCCTGCTAAGAAAGCTGTAACTCATTTATCCACATTTCTCATATTTCAAAATAACTTTTTGTCTTTGCTTTCTATTTCTACTTGAAGGTTTACACCTAATAATTCCAAATGGTCAATTTATTAGGATTTGGGCAAAACCGAAAATAAATAAATAAATAAATAAGTAAGTAAGTAAATAAGTAAGTCAATCTGCTATGGTTAGCCAGAAGTCAAATATTCTAATTTTAACACTATTTAATGCTTGAAAACTTTCAAATATTTTCTTTTCCTCTTATAATCAAGATTAAGCCATTACCTTGATAGTCACATTTCTATAATAATAAACAGAAAGCTTCCTAGTTCATCAATCACAGAAAAAAATAGCTCAAACTTTGCCATATTAGTAGGGGAGAAAAAACAGGTGGTTTGTATATAATTTCCAGCATTACTATCATTCAGATGGACAAATAAAAAAAATTACAGTAATCAAAAACAGACCTTTCAGCACATGTAATTAAATGAAAGCTTAATAAAGAATAATTTGCAAGAGCCAGATGTGCTTATGTCATGATTGTTGCTTTCTTTGGAACAATTTTTCTAATATAACAAGCCTCTAAAGAAATTAAAGTTTCATAATTCTGTATGCAATGACTCAGTGGAAATAAAAATTCACAAGCAAGAGTCAATCAAACTGCTAGAACTTAGGCAAAAAAAAAAAAAAAAAAAGACTGTCTTTTTTTATTCCATTTATTCTGTTGTATCTTTTTCCTTTGAAATCCAGCCAAGTGTCTGCCAAATGGGACAGTTTCTATAAAATTTCTGCTTGAGTCAAGCCAGTGAAGAAAAGTTCTATACTGAAAGGAGAGGAGATGGTTGACAGTTGAAAAAATGTTGGCTATACAGCAGCTGGTATATACCCTACTACTGAGTATTAAAGAGTTGTGAAATCTTAGAGAGGCAAGAGGCCTTAGACATCATACATGCTTCCATTTTTACCACAAACCATTCAGAAGATCAAAAGAAAGTCCATTCTACTTAATCTTGAGTCCTTCATGGAACTCAACTAATGAAAAAAATGCAGAGAAACAACTTTTTGGGAACAAATCAATGTTTTTATTCAGTGATCCTTCAGATTGGTTTAACAATACAGTTTGTAGAAACAGAGTAGTGTGAATTGCTTTCTCTAAATCTGATAAACAATTCTTTTTACACCCATTTCCAGTAGGTTATACTTCCAGAATGGTAAGACCCTACCAAAAAATATTCCTCAGAGCTTGCTCTTGTGAGCTGTGATTACTGGTATATCAGAGACTAGAAGCAGAGCCACATGCCACAAAATGTAGAGCTGAGTAGACCATACAGTAGGATATCAGTTAATATTTAATAGAATGAACCTTGAGATAATATCAGAAAATAGTATCCAATGAAAAGATAAAAGGCACTCATGAAGATTAAAATATCACATTCTATCTAACAAAGCATTTTATTTTAGTTCCAAATAGCATTATCTTCAGATTGAATATTTTAGATTTTACTTGGATGTTGTCATTGGTTGAATATAAGTTCACAAAACAATTTCAAACCTCACTGTCTAAGGAACATCAGTTGAATGTGTTCTGTGTGTAAAGCTCTATACTAGGAGCTGAAGAGAAGTCAGTCTTAGCCCAAGTACATAGCCCTGGAAGAGATGTAGAAGATAGATCCTTAACACTTCATTTGTATCTTTCTTTTTTTTGAACATTATGTTTTGTTATGCATCTTAACATG